ATACTGAACCACGAAAATTAATACGTTCACTACAACACGGTGCACCTGCAACTCATCTACTCAGATATCCATCGACAAATTTTTCTCTCTATAAATTTCTTGCATAACAAATATAACATTATCTACGTTTCTGAAACCTTTGTTGAAACTGTAGGTTGTTCACGGATTCATTGTTGGGGCAGCAGACAGCACATGTTTGTCGCTCATTATTAATAAACTGTTAGCATGTGTTATTTAGTGTTTTCAATCAGGAATTGGCAATAAATCTAATACGATCTATTGGCTACGATGTTACGATCTATTGGTTTTTAGGGAACATACTAGCGTTTCTCCGAAATTCTGAGACGCTAGAGCACAAGTTTGTACCACTTTTCCTGTTTTTTAAACTATATCGAACGTCAAAGTCAAACGCAGCGCACTCATGCCGTTATAACGGGTCATTAGGCGCTCACAGTAAAAGGCTACCACTCTGGAGTGAACGGCAAATCAGTTTCAGTCCATACCGGTATCGACGGATTGCCACTCTGGAAGGTTAGTTTTTAAATACGAATTTACGAAAACGGAATACGAAGACGGATACGAATACGAAGAATACGAATACGAATATGAATTTACGAATACGAAGACGGAAAATAGAGAATTTCGTAGAGTACGATACTAACCCATTGCGGATAGATTAGCCTTGCGTCCCTGTCAATAAGAAACTATCTAGCCAGCGGCAAGGACCACAAGCTTTCCTTCTGTTTCACATCCCATCGACCACGGGAGGCAGCAAAATAGCCTCCGAAACATTACTAACCTCCTACTTTGAAGAAGCTTCGTTAGACACAAGCCGAAATGTCGGTGGTGGTCAACCATCAGACTGACGATATATATTTTTCGCATTGTTTATTAATTGTGTTATGCTGTTTTTCATGAGTGATTTTGTTAATATAGAATGGTTATTACAGTACACGTGTGCTCTATTGTGCCGCCTTCCATAATCAGCTCTTCGGGAAATGACAGAACGCGATTACTTATAAATTTAGAATAATGTTCATGCCGAATTTTGATCCTATGGAGATGATCCACTTCTAATGGCCGCACTTTCTTAAGTTACTTGCAGTTTTGATTGCGTACCAATGAGGAGCCTTCATTCATGAGAGGATCGTGAATTGGTAGGCGGGAGAAACAATAGTTTCAGTATGCTAGCTATGCAAAGGCAAAGTTTTGCTTCTAAACATAAAGCAGAGACGACTCCAATAATTACAAAGATGTGTTATTATAGCCTAGTATCGAAGAACAGCGTTGTAGGAATTTTGTTAGGTCTCTTCTCTACAGAAGGCCAGTTTAGATCAATCTGCTTAATGAGATTAAAGTCAAAATCGACCGTTACACAATCTGTGATCAAAAACTGTTCATTTAATGCACGATTACAAGCGATAGAGATCAGCGATGATTCACTGATTACTATATGCGTCTGTTTAGCTATTGTTGCTTCTAAAGTTTCATTCCCATTGGTTAGCCACCTGCCACTCATGGTATTGACGCCTTCGAAAATTATAATGCCTCGGTCGTCGCCCGGGTTACCAAGGGCCGCGCAGGCTGTTGGGGAACTGAGGCAGACTGAGAAAAGTCGGCGATCAGAACCTGCTCATCGCCCTCTGCCAGCCGGGGGAGCGGCAGCACAACGACGGCTGACGAAGACCGACGCAACGACGACGAAGATACCAGTCAGCAACAGAGTCGCT